CTTCACAATGTATAAATGTATCCAGTCAACACATTGCACACTTTAAATTAAGCTGGTGGGAGTGGGGGGACTGTGCTAGAAAGGCCCTTCCTATCTCAAATGGGCATTGTAGTACTCAACTGACATGACAGAGAAAAGAATTTTGGAAATATCGAACAGCATTTATTATATGAAGTACCACTAATATATTAAAACCTACATGCGCAAGGGTATAGCGATTTACTTAGATAGCCTCATGAATATGAAAATCTGATTAAAACACAGTATACTATTTTGTTTGCATTCATTTGTTTTGATAAAATGAATATTGAGAACATATGCTGCATTTTCAAACAACAAATAGGAGTTGAGGGAAAGAAAAAAGAGTCAAAATGACAATGAAGTTGCTACTGTTCCTAGAGTGATGAAGGAACATTTAGACTGGTGTAGTACATACACTTCAATGAGCTACTGCTATTTAAAGGAGAGCTTCATATCTTTCAGGTGAGCTGGGGAAGGGAAAAGTTGAAACACTTTGATTCTAGAGAAAAATAATAGCTACCATTTATCAATGTTATTTTTCAAGATCTGTGTTTAGCACTATTCAACATATTACAACATTATAGAGTAGGTATGATCTACTCCTTATATACAGTTGAGGTAGGTATCTACTCCTTATATACAATAATGTGCCAGTTTACTGCGAGGGGATGTCCGACTGCCACGTTAGCAATGGCTACATGGCCGCTAGCTCCTACAATAAAGACTCTCTTCTACATCCACAACGTCTCATGGCTTCTTCATCTACCACCTGGCATCCAAGCAAGTCCAGCCCCTGGCAGAGGGGCTCAGACCTGACAGCTGGCATAGTTGGGCAGGATCAGGACCTGTGGACCTGACAACGACACAGCGAGCAGAGAATAAAGGAGGAGCTGAGTTCCCAACAGTTAGTACAGCGAGCAGGGTTCGAGGAGGAACTTGCTCTGACACTTGGCGCTGTGTGCCGGATTCAGAAGCATGTGTGGGTTCAAGGAGCGAGTGCTCCCACATGATTATATCATTCACTTTTCCACCCTCCAAGTCCAAAACACAGACTACGCTCTTTAAAAATAAGATTACCTAGAGAATGAAAGAATGAATCAATCAATGAAAAAATCAATGAATGCCTGCCTTACTATAGGTAAATTAGATATATAAGCATACTAAATATATATGTATTCTTTATACAAAGATGATGATTGACAGATTCTAGAGAAAATTACTCCAGTATTTATCAACTATCAGTGTCCTTATAGCATTTTCAAATCTCATACCAAAATTTTGATCACAATGATCTTTCAGTAAAACAGAAAAGGGCTGATCAATACACAGTGTAGCACTTAGGCATTTCAAGTCAGTATTTGTTCCTTGGTCTGCTCAACTCTAGGCACAATAGTTTTTACAAAGGTGTTTTTATTTGTTTTTAATAGACATTTAATCATCTTAGATTTTTTTTCTTATTTGAATCCATCTTTACGTTCCAATGACGTTAAAAAACCTAAAATCAAATCCAGTAATTTGATCCCATGATTAGTTTTGCCAGGACTAATGAAAGGGTAACATAGCTGATTAAATAAAGTATATAGGTACTGTTCTAATATGTATATCTTGATTTCATGGGGGTTTTTTTTCTGAAATAAAGATTGTTTTTTCTCTTCCCTTGGAAACCATGACTTCCAAAAAGGACTATCTGAAAACTGAAAGGAAACCAACAAAAGACTTGAAGTAGATTCAGAGATCTCTTTTGCTTTTTAACATGTATTTATGGTCTAGATCAGAGGTGGACAAACTATAGTCAGTTGGTCAAATTCAGCCCATTACCTGTTTTTGTCTGGTCCAAGAGCAAGGAATATTTTTTACATTTTTAAATGGTTACATCTTAATAGTTATATAGACACCTACATAATATCTTCAATATTGACTCTTGGCCTCCAGCACCTAAAATATTTACTATCAGACCTTTCTCTATCTACCCTCCATCTAGACCATTTATCTTTTTCTTAAAAAGGGGAATTTAAAGTTCTTGGGAAATGGTTACATTGTTGGGAGTGTAAGTAAATGCTGAGTTTACAATGAAGCAATTTTTGGCTCTTATCCACTTAGAACGTTCTGTCTGGAAACTGTTACTTGGGATTTTATTTGCCATTAAATGTTTCTCATGAAGAATGGATGGCCATTTCCTACTAAATCAAAAAAGTATGATGTAAATTTTGTAAACATCAATGTAGACAGTTTCTCAGAGACCAAAAATGAAGATAGAGGAGTATGGTACTTAATGAGACAAAACAAGTTTTTTCCATAAATTCAGTTTTTCCTAAGTTGAAACTGAAAACATCTTGCACCACTGACTACAGTGATCCTCCTTAGAGCTGAGGGTGAGGTCTGGAGAAGGGAATCAGAATCTCCCAGGGAGCATTTTAAAATTAAATTCCTCCAACTGCTCCCCTTCCCCCAAGCAGTGAGAATCTGTTTGGATAGGCCAATGTTCTTCCAGGGAGCTCTGAGTAATAATCCCTCAATGGGACTACCTGGGTTGGAAACCAATGACCTGCTTCAGTGCCCTGAACTATGTTCTCTGGTTCAGATACTAAACTATACCCAAGACAAGATGGGCTCCACCAAAAAGTATGTTTGGGAAAAAAAGAATCAAAATGAACACCTGGATTGTAAAGGCTAGTTTAACTAATAGTATTTCCCTTTCAAGAGCATATAATCCTTGAGATAATTTTATTTTTTTAAAAAGAGAGAGAGAGAGAGAGAAAGAGAGAGCCTCGTGTGGCTTAGTGGTTGAACATCATCCTATGAATTAGTAGGTCACGGTTAGATTCCCCATTAGGGCACCTGACCCAGTGATCCCCAGTAGGGGGCATGCAGGATGAAGCCGATGATTCTCATCATTGATGTTTCTATCTCACTCCTTCTCCCTTCCTCTCTGAAATCGATAAAAATGATATTTAGAAAAAAGAAACACCCATATGATTTGTTTCATTTTATCGTAAAAAGGTATTTGAATAATTTAAATTGTCAACATTTGAATAGATTAAGAACACTGTTTAAAGCAATTTAGAGATACATTAGGGCATTAAAATATTGATGTTTGATTTAAAACTAATAGTTTTCCAAAGTAGAATGTAACAATATTCTTAGTGATTTGGAAGAATTAAGTTTTCACATCAGTGTAATTTGTATATTTTTAGATATTTTTACTTTCTCTGGGGAAAACATAGCCAATACAAGCAAATAACTTGATAATTTAATTTTTTAAAAAATTTTGATATATTTCTCTATGACATAAAATTTTCCATCTCTGTATTTAACAGTAATCTAAATTGATAATGGGTAGGGTACATTCTAAATCTGGTTAAAATGCATAACAACGGTTTAACCATATTGCCATATTTTATTGTGCTCTCAAAATTCTAAATATATTCATTGTCATAGCATATCCACCAGAAAAAATGGGGATTTGTAACTTACACATGAGAAAACATCGTTTTCATAAATTTACAAAGTGGCTTAAAAATAATCCTATACTTGTTACATTGTTTAAAATTCTGCTCTTGATATCTCCCGTATACCTGTCCACTAAGCAAAATAAAAATTCTGAAAGCATTAATAAGATTCACAGAAAATTCAAATCTCAAAGTAAGCTTTAGTGTCAACATTCTCATTTGATTTAACTGCATAATTGCCAAACCTCCACTTCGTTTATAATATGTAGGCGTGCTCTCTGGGTAACATAAATACGGCTTAGGGATAGTGAAACGATGCTCATTGATACAGGCCCAAGAGAAGGAAAAGTTGCATTTTAGTATTTCATATTTAACCCTGGTCATTTCCATGGAAACTATTTATTTAAAAAAAATCCCTATCGTGTAACTGTATAATAAGCCTAATGCTAATAACTATAACCTATTTGGGGGGAGGGGAAATAGCATGAAAGCATCACCTACTTGATATACTAAAATCAGGGAGGACAGAAAACACGAGTACAGAATAGCAATGTGTTCTCCTTTGCCCACCCAGGTAACCACGCCCTCCGCCTCCATTTAATGGGACAGATTAGATTGCTGTTCCAATATGAAAATCCACAAATACGGTTTTGTTGTAGCTAGTTGGTTTGGGTCATATGCACTTAACTTATATTTCACTAGAACAAAGGGAAAGGCCTCTGTTAAATTGAAATGCTCAATATGGCCACCGAGACGATCCGTCGTTTCAACAGGTTTACTAGTAAACTCTCAGGCGCCTGTGGCCTTTCCGTCCCATCAGGAGTCCTGGGCTCCTAGTTCCAGCCTGAAACTAGGATGCCCTCCCACAACGGACAGCCTCCACCATAGTCCAAGCAGAAAGGGTGTGTGTGGGGGGGGGCGGGGAGGGGTTAATTTGGGGAAAATAAAAGGGCATACATTCCAATTCCACTTTATTTCAAAATGAATAAATGCAGGTGATAGTCACAGTTGCTCAGGAAATAGTCTCACGCTTTAGCATCGTGAAAAGGCGTCACTCTGCTTATGTCTGCGAGGTGCGTACGTGTGCAAGGAGCCGGGTCTCCCGTTTGTGTCTAAGGCCTCTGGGAACGGAACGTGGCGGAGGCCCGTGTGGTCCCCGGGGCCCTTCTCCGCGTGGGAGCCGCGGGGCCTGCAGAGCCTGGGAGCGCCCGGCGCGGGCAGCGCGTTCCCACGCTCGGGCGGGTCCGGAGGCCGCGCCGGGCCGGAGGCTCCTCTCCCTCCTTCCCTGGCTCGCCCCCCCCAGCCTCTCCCCGCCCCGGCGGCCCCTCCCCCCAGGGTCCCGGCCCCGGAGCGTGGGAGCGCAGCTGCGGCCGCGAGCGGCGGGCGGAGGCATCTCCGCGATGCGCGTCCGCGACGGGCGCAGGCGGCGGAGAATGAATCGAGGAGCGGGGAGCAGCTCCCGGGGCCGCCCGGGGCCCCTCCACGCGCGGCGCCGGAGCCGGGCCCGAGCTCCAGGAGCCAGTCACTTACTTGATGTCCTCCCACACCTCCGGGCCGTAATTGCGGATCACCAGCAGCTCCAGCGCGTGGTTCACGAACCCGTACTGTGGGGACAGAGGGAAGCCCGCGCGCGCGTCAGGGACCGGCTGCCGATGGAAGAGGCGCGAGGGCGAGGCTGCCTTGACTGCCTCTCGGCTGCTTTAACTTTGGGTCCAACCTATTCGGGGTGCTCGCCGCTAAAGAGGGGTGCCTCTGGGTCGCCACCCAAGCCACCAATAGGGGGCAGATCCTCTCCATCACCGCCCACCCCACACCCGTGCCACCTCCTTACCCCGCTCACCTGTCACGGCCAGGAGGCAGGCCGGGCAGCGGGGAAGCATGGCAGAGGGGACGAGCCCTGCACCCCCCACACCACGGCTCTCAGGATCCCTCACCCGCAGGGCCCGCCTGAGCCGGGAAAGCCCCGCGTCTCGGCTGCACGGCCCCTTCCCGGGCTCGGGAAAGCACGGCGGACCCCTTTGGAAGCAAAGGCACCCATGGCCCCCCGCCGCGATCTCCCCCTCCCCCACCTCACCCTACCCGCCCCCCCCCCCCCCCCCCCCCCCCCCCGGCGTTCCCATCTCCTCGGACGCGGGCAAACTGCGAGGCTGCTCCCGCGACAAGCGGTGCGCTCCCCGGGCCCCAGCGCCAAGCTCCGGCGGCGCGGTCGGTTCGCTTGGGCTTCCAGGCCCGGTCCAGCTGCGGCTTGTGGGTTCGGCCTGAGCCGGCTGAGAGCACTCACCATGGTGTCTGCGCCCGGGGTGGGGGAGGATGCCCCCGCGGAGAGGCACGGCCGAAGGGACCCAGGCGACGGAGGCGACAGCGCAACAGGACCCCAGCGGCAGCATAGAACTGGAATGAGCGCAGTGGTCTCGGTCCGCCTTGATTGCCACCTCTTCCCGGCCAATAGCGAGTCGAGCCGCAGGGGGCTGGCCGCTGCCTCCTAGTTTTCAACCAATCGACGGCAGAGGAGGGAATTCAGATGCTGTCACTACTGCTGCGCTCCAGGTCTTCCCGCCCCCGCCCTAGTGACAAGGCTTTCATTCGAGGCCACAACAATGACGATGGAGAAGCTCCAGTTTTGTTCCTTGCATGAATTTGGGGGGCAGGAAGAATGCAACTATTGTAGTGCCCCCAAATATATTCTTATCCAAAGATCTACCCGCAGAGGTAGCAAAAACTGAGTAGAGGTGTGTGTGTGTGTGTGTGTGTGTGTGTGTGTGTGTGTGTGTTTATCTTGCAATGCACAAGCCTTAAAAGGAATAAGCCCTCGTGGTCAGCATCCTTCTTGTTTAATGTCATCTTGCAGATAAATATTTCCTTTGTGGCTTGGTCCTGCAACAGTTTATGGTAAACTGAAAACTAATAATACTGAGCTTCACACATTTTGCTTTCAGTCAATGAGACTAGTTTAGTGAGTTAGCTAAAATTTTCAGCAATGTAGCTTAGTGTGTGTGGTGTCAAAAGAAACTCTGCCCGTTACTAAACTTCTCTACACATCCAGTAATGATCTGTGCTTGCTCCTGGTGGGATGCCTGATCCCATATCATGGCCAGGAACCATGAATCCAAAGTTTTTGACTGTCCAGAATTTGGTCTCTGTTGTTGTTTCTCAGAGCTAATGATGAACTATAAAAGGCCCATTACATAATGAGTAGACTTTTAATTAATCTAACCCCAGTCTGTAATCTAGGAGGCATTTGAATTAGTTAAAATTCTGAGCCACACCACAGAGATAAAAACTGATGATTAAAACTCTGTGCTTGGGGCATATGGACTCGATTGACAAGGGTGAGGTGAAAAGTGAGGAAGGGAAGGCAAGCGTTGCTTCCAGATCACAAGGGTCAAGTGGACCTGAGAAGCCAAGATGACATTCTATGACATGAGTAGTTAGCTGTGAGAACAGTTTCAACATGGTGAGAGAAAAGGTCAAAACTATAAAACTACTAGCATCCATACCCAGGGACCTATCTTGAGGCATAATAGGTTCAGAAATAATTACATAGGAAACAAATAAAACAATGACAAATTATAAAAGTACTAATGTTGAATAGTAAATTATAAATTTACAACGACAAATAATAAAACTATCAATGGTGAAATTATAAAATAAATTAGAATCTTTCATACCATGGAACACTTTACTTTGTACAAATATCAAAATATTAAACCATTATGAATATCAGCTGTCAATTTTAATTATTAAAATAGCCCATTGCTCTATAGAGCCATGAAAACACTAGATACGAGATGATACAGAAAGAGAAACTGACGTGAGAAACATTGATTGGTTGCTTCTCATACCTACAGCCTAGGTACGTGCCCTGTCAGGGAATTGAGCCTATTACCTTTCAGTGTATGAGAGACACTTCAACCAAATGAGTCACACCAGTCAGGGCAACCCTCAATTTTTTAATGGTTATACAGAATAAGGCGTCATTTGGATAACAATAACACATATACATACGCATTGCTATAAAAATGCATAGGAAATTTTTTTATCTCTGTTTTTTGTAATTAAAACCAGTGGCTGCCCTAGTTGGTTTGACTCAGTGGATAGACCATCAGCCTGGGTTTGATTCTGGTCAAGGGCACATGCCCAGGTTGCAGGCTCGATCCCCAGTAGGGGGCGTGCAGGAGGCAGCTAATCAATGATTCTCTTGCATCATTAATGTTTCTATCTCTCTCTTCCTCTCCATTCTTCTCTCTGAATAAAGTAAAAAGATATAAAATAAAAATAAAAAACAGTGACTGAAGGGACCAAGGCTTTTACTTTTTGCATTATGACCTTCTGTATCTTTTGATTGTTTTCTATTCACAGGTAATAATTTTTTTAACTTGTTAAAAAGACTTTTTCTCATTTCTCGACCTGTCTTCCTTTGAACAGCAGTAGAATGAGCTGTGGTGTCCTGAACTTTAGACTCTTGATAGGTAAAAACAGGGAAGAAAATTGCTCTCTAATGATGAAAATGAAGAAAGTTCACCTTGAGAAAGATGAGAGCAAAAATGAAGAATGAGCACCCTGCCAACTTTTTTTCTATCTCTGAAGTTCTAACTTCTACCGTCACTGTTCTTTTTGACCAGTAACTCTTTGAGCGTATCGCCCTTTTGTCCAACACCTACATGCATTTGTAAAGATGTTATACTGTGTGTGTTTTTTCTAACTGTCTTATATTCACTCAGAATCTCAAGGAAGGTCTGTTCACTAAAACTTTGCCAATTTTTGTTTGGCCCACAAGATACTACAAAGGATCTGCTGATCAGGGAGAGAGGTAGGCCACCAGCCATGGAAGAACCCAAAACAGGTCACTACGCTTCTGTAAACGCCCTATCCATGGTCCCTGCGGCTGACAATGGAGCATAGAAATCAGATCACAAGTAGGTTATGCCATATTTTCAGAAACAATAAATTGCCCTTTTCCCTGTATGACCCAAGCTGAAGAGAATCAGGGAGGAAAAGGAGAAGCCTAGGGAATGGCTTAGCCAGCCATTGTGTCAACCTTAACTATTTGAAAATCAGTCCAATGCATAAAAATTAAATAAATCAAAAGGCATACATGGCTTTCAGAAATGTCCACTGAAATGACTCACATTTTCAGCTAATAAAAATAAATTAGTAGCCTGGCTGGTGTGGTTCAGTGGTTCAGCATCGACCCATAAACCAGGAGGTCATGTTTCTTTCTGGTCAGGGTACATACTCAGGTTCGATCCCCAGTGGGGGGTGTGCAGAAGGCAGGCCATCAATAGTTCTCTCTCTCTCTCTTTTTTTTTTTTTAATAGTTCTCTCTTATCATTGGTGTTTCTATTTCTCTCTCCCTCAACCTTTCTCTCTCTGAAATCAATAAAAACATTAAAATAAATTAGTTGGGCGGTTTAAGTATTAAATACATATTTAATAAGATCTAATTTAGAATGCATTTTGATGGACCTTCAACTATGATTTCCGTTGTCTCTATATGACAATTCTCCCACATGACAAAGCGCATCAAACTGACATACAGAAACAAAAAAACCTGAACTGGTTTAACCAGATTCAGTGAGCCTTTAATGGTGCTTCACTTGAGAATCATCCATACCCTATTGAAAAGATTAGAGGGTAAAACAATATTCACTCCATTGGAATAATTCTAATGCTATTTAGTGGGGTTTTTTAATGCCTTATTTCTAAATAACATTTGCAACTAACCAAGTACTTTCACACACTTTGTCCCCTTTTCATTATCTCATTGGTTATGAGGGAGATAGTGTTTTGCTCATCTTGGCTGTGAGGACCTGAGGCCCAGAGTGAGGGATTCCTCACACATTACTAAGGGCCATCCTTTGACTCACTGACCCTATTGCAGATCTTAGATCCCAAACCCATAACTCTTTCCTTAAATATAACTATTTTCTCTTTATGTGTCTGACAGTTGGTGTTTAATGCCCAATAGAGTATACAAAAGTCAAAAGAAAAGTTATCTACAACTTGATAACTATGTAAATTGGGGGTCAGGGGAACACATGATTTCCCTAAATTTCACTTTCCTTATCTGTAAAACAAATATAAATAGTAATTTTATACCTCCTGTAAAATGGGTACATTACAAATAGTAACTTTTATAGCTTCTGTAGGATTTTGGTAAGGATCAAATGAGTTAACATATAGGTATGTATTTTATATAGAGTACAATTTAATGCACATTGGTTTTACTATATTTATTATATGACTCTCTGTCTGAATTATATAAATTTTTAATATTCTTCACATGAGAAAATACTATGAGGGAGAGGAGAAAATGCGATTCATAAGACTTCTGGTCTTTGGTCCTACAGTGGACAAGTTACTGAGCTCATCTAAACCTCTGAAAGTAAGGCAATCATGAAGATGAAATATGATGATATACGTCAATGATATATTACAGTGCTTGACACATGGTAACTGCTCACCAAATGTGAACTTGATAATCCATTTAAGAAATGTGTCTATAATAAGGTAAATAGTCCATTTCATAGGTGCTGAGTTTGAGTTAAGATAATGCTTAATCCCCATACTGACAATGCAGAGAATATTAGCCATGGTTTCCCAATTCCTTCCTTTATTATCAGTCCATACCCACAGGTTGGAGCCAAAGTTAGCAGAATGAAGCATCCCTTGATTTGTTCCATTCTACTAGTATTATCCTAAATGAATGAAAATCAAACCACCCTGGGTTATGTTTTTCTGCTCTACTTAACAAAGTAATGCACATTCATTTGACTGAACTGCTCTTATTTCTTTCTTCTTTGTACTCTGTTGCTTTCATTTTCATCCCTGGCAAGAAACCAATAAAAAACACCACAAATAATTGGCCATAATTCCCAAGGCTACTCAGACCTACATTGTGGGTCTGGCATAGAAATCTGTGTTTTTTTCCAGTCTAACCAAGAGTTTTCTCACATGAAAAAAAAAAAGGTACTGTAGAGTGAATTGAGTTAGAAAATCCTGAGCTGTGATGTGGATCTTCTCACATATGCAACATGAGGTATGCTTTAGTAGACAGAATAAGTCTTCCGCCCAACCCAAGGTGTTCATGTCCTAACCCCCAGAACCTGTGAATATGTTACCCTACTTGGCAAAAGGGATTTTGTACATGTGATTAAGCCAAAGATATGGGCTGAGCATCCTGGATTTTCTGGTAATCAGGAAGGAGATTATAAGAGAGAGGCAGGAGTGTCAAAGTCAGAGAAGGTGTCATATTAGAAGCAAAGGTGGGAGTGGTATAAGGAAGGCATCATGAGCCAAGGAATGCAGAAGGCCTGTAGATGCTGAAAAGGGCAAGAAAAAGGATTCTTACCTAGAGCCTCCAGAAGGAATGCAGCCCTGCTGACCTGGATTTTAGGACTTCTGACCTCCAGAAGTAGAAGGTAGTAAATTTG